TAAGAATGACATTCTCCAGGAGCATCCATGTTGCTGCAAATTCTTTGATTTTTTTTTAACCTTACTTGAACCTCTCTTTTTTTAGCTTTGACTTCTGTCAAGACTCCGGAAAGAAAAGCCCTTCTGAAAATCTTGGACAAGTACTATTTGGAGAACAAATCACATCATCTCCTTATAAGGTTGTTCAGCTGATCTTATTTTAAATCTTATTTTAAAATGAATCTTCTCAAAACTGACTACTTATACAGTTGTCCCTCGGGGAATCCATGGGGAATTGGTTCCAGGACTCACTGTGGATACCAAAATCCATGCATGCTCAAGTCCCATAGTCAGCCCTCCATATGGGCAGGTTCCGCATCCAGAGATTGAACCAACCACAGATTGTGTATTAAGCTTTCCATCTGCTGTCCATGGTTGGTTGAATCTGTGGATGTGGAACCCGCAGATACAGAGGGCCGACAGTATATTTATTGAATAAAATCTGCATATAAGTGGACCCAGGCAGTTCAAACTTGTGTTGTTCAAGAGTCAACTGTAACTGTACCAGAGTCTTTCTTTTAGAAGGAGATAGAGAAAAAGGAAAGGAGGTAGAATCTGGCCTTGCCAGAAGAGTGCATGAATACAGTTTGCTCTCCAAGTCCAAGAGTTCTGCTGCTGAAGATTCAACCAACCAGGAATTGAAAATATTGGGGAAAAAATTCCAGAAAGTTCCAAAAAGCAAAACTTGAATTTACATAGTAGTTACATTGTGTTTAAAACTATTTACATAGCATTTACATTGTATTAAGTATTATAAGTAATCTAGAGATGATTTGAAGTACAGTTGACCCTTGAACAACACAGGTTTGAACTGTGTAGGTCTACTCATACCTGGAGTTTCTTGAATATATGATCTGTGGTTGGCTGAATCCCCAGATGTGGAACCTGAATCAAGTTACATGTGGATTTTCAACTTCAGGGAGGGTGGGCACCCCTAATCCTGAATTATAACTGAATGGGGAGGATGTGTATATGTCATATGCAAATTATCCTCCATTTTTACATGAGGGACTTCAGCATCTGTCGATTTTGGTATTCGTGGGAGTTATGGAAACAATCCCCCACTGATACTGAGAGATGACTCTAAATGCTCTTTAAGCTATCTGCAGTAGTTAGTGGTTTCACATAAAGGTTTCGTCTTTCAAGTTTCATTTTTGCTTTGCAAAGGAAAAACATTAAATTTATTGTTCTTGCATATTTTTAGTAGGGTGATGTAAATAGATGTAGTTGGACTCTTGGTGTCTGTTAATACTGCTTTCAATATCTTGGTAGATGTGAGGAAAGAGTAAGGATGTTTTCATAGCAGTAATGATTATGAAGGCATTAACTTTTTTTCTTTTTTCCCAACCTCATTGAAGTAGAATTGAGGTATAATAAACTACACATATTGAAAGTGTATAATTTTGTCAATTTTAATATATGTCTACACTTGTGAAACAATCAGGCATTAGCTTGTTTTACAACTTTTTATTTTGAAATAATTACAGATTTATAGGAAGCTACAAAAAAAAAAGAAAAAAGAACAGGGAGGGCTCATGTATCCTTTACCCAGGTTTGCCCAATGGTGATAGCTTGCATGACTATTGTACAGTATCAAAACCAGGGAATCGACATTGGACAATGCATAGAGCTTATTCAGATTTCACTATTTTACATGCACTTATTTGTGTGTGTGTGTGTGTGTGTGTGTGTGTGTGAGAGAGAGAGAGAGAGAGAGAGAGAGAGAGAGAGAGAGAGAGAGAGAAGAGACTGCAATTTTATCACCTGTGTGGACTTGTGTACCCACCGCCACAGTCAATACACAGCATGGTTCCATCAACAAGGCTCCCTTATGCTGTCCACTTACTGTCCTTTTACTGTTTACTTTTCAGAATTCTTTCTATATTCTAGCTATGATTCCTTTGTTGCAACAGTAGTTTGCAAATAGTTTCTCTGAGTCTGTAGTTTGTGTTTTCATCTTCTTAATAGGTCTTTCACTAAGCAAATATTTTAAATTTCTATGTGGTCCAATAATCAAGTTTTCCTTCTATGCATCATGCTTCTGGTGTCAAGTCTAAGAAGGCCTTGCATGACCTTAGATCCTGAAAACTTTCTTCTATGATTTCTTTTAAAAGTTTTATAATTTGACTTTATATGTTTAAGTTTGTGATCCATTTATGCTTCAGTACCATTTACTGAAAAGACCTTTTCAACAATTTCAGTTCTTCCTCCACTGACTTGCTTTTGCACCTTTGCAAAAAAATCACTTGGGTCTAGATGTGTGGATCTGTTTGTTCGGTCTCTATTGATTTGTTCCGTTGGTCTGTGTGTCAAACACTCACTTTTTGATGATTAAAGTTGTACATAGTACCCTTGTGGGGTACCATTGTCCTAACAGAAAAGTGCGTCTTTTCAAGAAATGCTGTCCTTTGGACTGAAGAAACATGACAGTTCAACTTGGTTGCCAATAAGGAATTTTGGGGTTAATATTTGTATGATTGCAGAATATGAGATGTTAAATACGACTTTTTTCATTGTTTATTCTTGCTCATTATTTTCTGATTAAAAACACTGACACTTTACCTTGATAATCACCTGTAAACAAGAGGTTTACATATTAAAATATCAAATATTTTATTATCACTTCTTTGATAATAAATTTGTTGAGAGATAATTCACATACTGAAGAATTCACCCACTGATAAGTGTCCAATTCATTGGTTTTTAGTATATTCATAGAGTTGTGTAACCATCACGACAACCAATTTTATAATCGCTTTTAAGTGAAGGATTCTAGATCAGGGTAGTTTTCAGAAAGCTACAGTGGATTTTATATCCCACCTTATATAATACGGAAGATGGCAAATTCTTCTGTTCAGTGGTGAAAGCAGTGTGTGTGTCTGTATGTGTCTAGTGTAGTCATTTCAGGTATGAATTGTAACTTAGGAGATAGTGTTGAGAATGATGGCATAATGAAGTCTCCGAAGAATAGTTTTGTCTGTAAGATAAAGTGCTTATTTTGTGACATTTGATCTATAAAATTTGGTCAAATCTCAATATTTAAAATTTTCTTTCTTAACAGTTTTCTTTTAATAAGACAGAAACATGTATAGAAGTTTGTGTAAAATCTTATGACACAGCCAATGAAGATCAAAAGAAAAAGCTGGATTTTTTGAAGAAAGGAATACAACTGAATTATCAGCATCACTGGTAGGCTTGGCACCTGAGATCACATGACTTAATTTTTCAATTCCTTTCAGAAGTAGTTTTAATAGACACTTGAAATTGTAGGCGATTTTTTGTGACTTGACTTTGATTAAAAATTTGGACTTCAATACATGTAAGATGATGTGAGTCTGGCTTGATGTGAAATGCTTGTTAAATATTTTATTTAAAAATATTTATATTTAGGATTATTGATAATATGCCAGTGATATGGTGTCGTGATATTGAAGGCAGAGAAAAGTACTGCACACCAGGATTTCCGATTGGATGTTTTGTTACCAAAAGTGGTATAGCCAGAGATGCTTGCATTATCAATGTAAGTATTGAGAACTTACTATAGAAATGCAAGAATGTTGCTTCATTTACAATTTGCCTTCAGTTGTAGTCACTTAACATTAATGGGACACCTGCCATATTCTCGGTTTTGTGCTAGGTGTTGGGGATACTGAGACAAGTAGACATGGCCCCTGTCTTCTAGAAGTTCACAGTCTTAAGTAGGGAGATAGATGTGGAAACAAATGAACGCAATAAAATGTTACATGGTAGGAGACTAAGTGACAAGAAAGATACAATGTAGGGAATGAAAAAGTAGCAACAAAGAAGATACAATGTAGGGAATGAAAAAGTATTTGTCAGATAAATGGGTGTGGGAGCATTCTAGTAGGAAAATCAGGAAGATACAATGTAGGGAATGAAAAAGTAGCGACAAGGAAGATACAATGTAGGGAATGAAAAAGTGTTTGTCAGATAAATGGGTGTGGGCGCATTCTAGTAGCAAAAATCAGTCAAGAGCTTGGAAGTCTGAAACAGCATACTGTGCTTGGGGGACTGAGCCGTCGAACATGTCTGCGGCTTAAGGTTTGGGGTTTAGGGGTGCAGCTAGAGATGAAGCTCAAAAGCAGTGTAGGCAGAAGGGGGGTCCTGTATACAATGGGAAGGAAAACAGCATTGAATGTCTGTGATGTGCCAGGAGCAGTTATATTATTCTATATACAGTGACTAATTTAATCCTTAGAACAGCCGTGTTGCAAGAATCTACTACTGCTGTTTAACAGCTGATGAAACGCAATCCCAGAGACAGTAAGTGACGTGATGAGGGGCAGGATCTAGTAAGTGACAGAGGGAGGATTCCAACTCAGATCTTTTGAGCTTGGAAGTTCCAGTCATACTGTGTTTGAAATCTGTCTTGTGGTTCTCAAACTGTTTTCTACTGGGCCTGAGGGTAACCGAAGTGTCTTGGGGCTGCCATGGAGGCTAACGAACAGGCTGAATGGACATGGACGGGCTCAACCAGGGCAGCACTGCTTATATAATCTCTTATATGTGCAGATTCGATGTGGTTCACCAACGGGGACAATGGGGAAGGGAGAGAGAGTGTGGAGGATGACAGCCAGGTTTCTGTTTTGGTTGTCTAACTGATGGTTCTCTTCATTGTTTCTTTCCAGAGAAGAGGGCAGTGCTTCCTGAATTTCAGTCATTCATGTACCACCTTGGTGATTTTTGCCATATCTGAGGCACCTGTGTTATTATTTATCTGTAGTTAACTTAAATTTATTAGAAAAGAAACTATACTATCAGGTTTAGTGTACTACTTATATATTTTATCCATCTATTTTCAAGTAAATAGATAAAAAAGTAGGGTACAAATTGTTTTTTCATCTACTACCTAAATTTATCTCATATATCCCCAGGGATATGTATTCTTCACAGTGGGAAACATTGAGATAGGGAATATGAGAGAAAAATCTGCAAACAACTGCTTAATTGATAATTCTTTCAAAGTAAGGGAAAAGTGGCAGAAGAGAAGAGTTAATGAATAGGAGAAATTTTGATTAATATAGTCTGTGTTTAATACTCTTCATGAAAGTCTACATGGAATGTTTCTATGCGGCCAGTTAAAGACCACAACTTTGAATATCAAGTCTGGGAAGAATAAATGGGTCAATAGGATGAAAGGGCCCCAGTTGGCCAGAGTAGCAGTAACTTTTATCACCATTTGTGGGTTGCCACCTAAGATTACCAAGGTTAAGTAAAACCAGCAGTTGCCTTTTATTATCCCTTTTATATATAGAGGAACTCTGTCCTGTGAATTTTCTCATTTATTTTTATTTTAAGGATATTTATTTTGGATAGATGTCAATGTCTTCCTCTTTACCCCCTTTACACAGACTCCGTCCCCTTTCATCGTGAACTTAAAGCTGTAGGCAAGTTTCAGAAAAGTTGTTTACAGTGTTTATAGTGTAATTGATCTTTTTTGGGGGAATAATTATAACAGCTATTTTCAAAGTGTCATTGCTCTGAAGGCTAATGGAATGTGTGCTTCTGTATTCTTGCGTTTAAAATTTTCTCATTTTAAGTTCTAGCTTGGTCAATATGGGTAGATATAACCCACATAGACAAAAATGCTTCAGGGTCTTTAATTTCTTAGCTAAGTGAGGTTATATGTATTATATCTCCTTCTTTGTCTTTACTTAGAAGTTTATAATGGACTTCTTTCCATGTTCATTTTGTGCATATATGTATACACACACACATATGGGGAGAGAGACAGAATACAAGAATGAGAAAGCATTTATACTTTTTAATAGTATCATAGTATTCCATTGTATGGATGGATCATAATTTTTTATCCATTCCATCATGATTAGCTGTTTTCAGTTTTTGTTGTTAATAATGCTGCAGTGAACCTTCTTTTACGTCTCTGAGTCTCGTCGGTAAAATGGGAGTAAGAATAGTACATAGCACATAAGGTTGTTGTGAAGATAGCTAGGGTAATACTTGAGAAGTTCTTGGAGCAGTGTCCGACACACACTAGGCATTCAATAAAAGGTAGCTATTATTGTACAAACATCTGTGTACTCTTGTCTAATTATGACCTTAGGATAAAGTCATGTAATTGCTGGATCAAAGGATATGGACTTAAAAAAAAGAACTTTTTGTTGTAAGATACAAATACAGAAAACCACGCTAAACAGATACAAAGTTTAATGAATTATTATAAGGGGAACACGCTTGTAAATCCCAACCAGATCAAGAAATAGAATTTGGCCAGCCACCCCAGAAGGTAACCATGTTTCCCTGCCCATTTACAACACCGTTCCCTTCCCTAAAGGGACCACTATCCTAACTTTTACCCTAATCAGTTGCTTGAGTTTCTTTTGCAGCTTTATCACCCAAGTCTACATCCCCGGACACTGTAGTTTAGACTTGACCATTTTATATACCTTTTTTCAATATTTTATGGTGAGCATTCTCAAACACACAGAAAAGCTGAATAAATTACATAGTGGACACTCATATACCCATGGCCTAGATTCTACAATTAGCATTTTTCTGTATTTGATTTCTCACATATCTATTTGTCCATTCCTGTGTCATTCGTTCTAACAATGGTGCATTTTTCTCTGTCCTTGATTTCCTGCATGTTGGTAGATGGATCCAGCAGCTTGGTCAGATTCAGGTTTGATCTCTTTGGCAAATAAGGTAGTGATGTGTTCTTTCATCAGGAGGCACATGATGTCTCATTAAAAAACTAGAGTTATTATTTTGAGCAGTTTTGGGGCCCAAGAAAAATTCAGTTGCAGGTACAGAGACTTCCCATGTACCTACCCCCCCCACCTGCATAGCCTCCCCCATTATCCACATCACTCACCGGAATGTGGTGCATTTGTTACAATTGATGAACCTCCACTGATACACCGTGATCTCCCGAAGTCCATAGTTTACGTTAGGGTTCACTCTGTGTGGTACATTTTGTGGGTTTGGATAAATGTGTAATGACATGTATCCACTGTTATTGTATCATACAGAGTAGTTTCACTGCCCTGAAAATCTGTGCTCCGCTTAGTCATCCCTCCCCTCTCCCCGCACATGGTGTCTTTTGTTTCTTTTATTGTGGTGACTGGATCCATTAATTCATTAGAGGCTGCTCTGGCTGAAGAAACCAGAGCATGCAGAGTGAGCTTCCATCTATCAGAAAACAAAACTATTTCTCCTTGCAGTGTCTACCCAGCGCCCTCTACTGACAAGCTTCCTTCAGTGCCAGCTTGCAAAGGAAAACTAAAATATTTAAGGGGCCCGAAAAATTTTCATAGAGGTCAGTGAGCACGACTTTGGGGGATGAGAGGCAATAAATGAGTAACTGGCACACCTGACACCTGTGCATTGGTCAGTACTCTGATGAAAGAGAGCCCTTGCATATCTCCAGAAATCTCTGTGCAGCTCTTCCTCTCTGGTTCTGCCTCACGGACTCTAACACCTTTGGTGTCTCTAGACTTTGAACTTTGCCTTCTCAACTTGGGAAGATCATAAGGCTCTGGGGACCCTTTCTCTGCACCGCAGCCTGGCGGTTCTCTCTGGGAAGGAAGCTTGAGACCTCCTTTTCTCTGTGATCACCCTCTTAATGTTCTTCGTTGTCCAAAGTTGGAAAACTGTTGCTTCATGTATTTTACCCATTTCAAAAAGTTGTTTAAGGTGAAAGAGTAACTCTGGTCTCTTGTTATTCCGTCATGTCTGGACGAGGGGAGTCCAACTCTCTTGCTTTCTTTTTGCAAACAGTTGCTTGGTGTAACTTTGCTTATCGGTTCATTTGTAACTTTTTGGTATCTCTTTCAGCTGTGTCTCTTGTAAACAGCATGTTGTTGAGTTTTGCTTTGTGGTATCTTCTGAAAAATCTTTTCTTCTTAATTAAGCCCCTTTACATTTATGGATACATTTGCTGTCAATTCTGTTACATTACATTTTGTTGACTATTTTGATATTCCACATTTTATTGATTCAAGACTCCTGTTTCGCCATATTTTAACATTTATGAAATCAAGATGTGTCTCCCAGGTGATGGCATTTGTATAAAGTTTAATTGGCAATGTTTGTTTTAGCCCCACGTAAAGGAATGATGTTTTACAAGTGATGGCATTTTAGAGTCCATGGAAAATAGTATTTATTTGAAAAGTCGTTGTGTGGTCTACCTTTTTATTGTTGTAATTCTTCTAATATTTAAGAAGGTTTGTATTTCCGTTATACCCCCTTCATTTATACCTATTTACTAGTCACCTCTTTCTTTAGAGGGCGTTACGCAGTTTCATGATTATGTGTCTGGTTTTGGATTTTTGTTTTGCCTTATTTTTAATCCTATTTGTAATTCCTTGAAGCTCCTGGATTGGTGCTTTGTATCAGTTCTGTAATTCCCAGTCATTGTTAGATATTTTCTTCTTTCCTTTGCAGACACCAGTTAACGCTATGTTAGATGTTATTTTCTCCTCCCAGTCTCTCAACTTCCCTTCTATAATTTTCCAGTGCTATGTTCTTCTGGTCTATCTCCTAGTTTATAAATTCTCTCTTCACTTGTTTCTTCTCTCAAGAGAAGAGGATTTCAGTAATCATCTTTCTCATTTCTACAAATTTTGTTCTTTTCCAAATATACTAGGTCATTCTTTTATACTTTTCTATTTCACGTGCCGGCTTTCACACCTGTATTTGATATCGTCTAAATACATTAAATTTAAATGCAAATCCATGTCAGGGCTAGTCTGGGGCCACAGCTTTTTTTTTTTTAAATTGAAGTGTAGTCAGTTTACAATGTTGTGTCAGTCTCCGGCGTACAGCAGGGAGACTCAGTTATACACATATGCACGTGCATGTCCTCTTCTTGTAAGGACGCCAGTTATACTGGATTAGAGCCCACCCTAATGGCCTCATCTTGACTTGATTTTGTCTTGCAGAGACCCTATTTCCAAATAAGGTCACATTCACCCATACAAGGGGTTAAGACTTCAACATCTTCAACGTATCTTTTGGGAGGACACCATGTAGTGAGTGCATCACAATTCTCATACCAAAAAAATCCTTATGCCCCGAAATCCTAATGGAAAAACAGTCATTCACTCTCCTTTCACCACTTTTACCAGAAAAAAGAAGTCAGAAGTTTTCTTTCTTCTGGATTAGGGCAGTGGTTCTCAAAGTGTGTTCCAGGACCAGGGGCATTGACATCACCTGAGAGCTTGTGAGACGTACAGAATCTCAGGCTTCAGCCTAGGCCGAGTGAGTCAGAATCAGTACTTTAACAAGATCCCTGGGTGATCTGTATGAACTTTTAAAGTTTAAGAAGCATTGATCTAGAAAATTGGATCATTATTTTCAAATAGAATTGTGGCTACTAGGGAGTGAACTAATGAATACTTGGCTGTTAGAGTTTCATTCACTTTTTATCTGATGCTGCTGATTATAAATGTAAGTATTATACTCATTATAGAAAATTTGGTAAGTACAGAGAAATATAAAGAAGCAGTGGAAAAATTATTGCCTATAATCTCACTACCCAGAGGTGTCACAGTTAACATTCTGAAACACATCTTCCTTCTGTTTTTTCTCCATTACTTTTACCATAAATAAAGCCTAAACTCTTGATATGCCTAAACTTTAAATACTGATAACATTTTATTTCATTTACTTGTATTACTTCATAGTTTTGTGCGGTTAAAAAAATCCAGAGATGAATGTATTTATGAATTTTATAGTTTTGCAATACTATTCCTTTGTAACAACTATTTCAGATTATAGAAGTAACAACTATTTAAGACTGTAGAATTGACTAACACCTTAATGTTAGGCCAGATGCTCAGGGCTGCAGTTTTAATCTTATAAAAACATATTTATACTTCAGCATGCTTAATTTATAGCTCAATTTTTTTTATAACTAGTGTATTCCATTTTCACTCCATGATCAGATTTTATATTTTTTAGTTTCCAGGAAAAATTCACACTTCTTTAAAATTTCTGTATCTTTTTGCAGTTGGAATTCAATAAAAGTAATACCTTCTACCTCTTCAACCACGTTGATATTACCATTACATATCACAGGGAAAATGAAACAAATTGGAGTATTGCAAGATTGGTTTCTGCTAGACTTGATCCCAGAAGGTAATTACAGAATATGTTTTTAATTTGTTTCATTAATTTAAAAATTAATTCAAAATGTAGAAGATCCTACCTAGAATTTTTATTTTTAAGATACATGTGTGATATAACCTTATACAGAAACTTTGAAAAATCAAATAGGCAGTTTTATTCCCTTTTACCGACAGTAAATATCTGAATAACATGTAATATGAGGAAGAATTGACAGATCTGGAAGAGAATAGACTTATTGAGGGTATCTTAACTCTATTCTTTAGTTTCTGTTATATAACAAAAAGGTTAGATTAACATTTGTGTTTCTTTAGAGGACAGCTCTAGTCCCAATGGAGTGTATTAGGCAGGTATCTGTTGAGTATAAGGAAGAGTTTGCTAGTAATCAGAGTTCTCTAACAGTTGAATAAGCAATCTCAAGATGAGTGAGTACTTAGAACCTGGACATTTGTAGGAAAAGTCTAGATGACCCAGCTCTTAGCGATTTCATAATTAGGCCCCCAGCATAGTAGCTGGCCACTGGTAAGTGAGTGCTTAATGAATTGTAAATGGCAATTCTGCATTGGGTAAGAGACTGGACAGGTGACCTTTAATGCTCCAACTTCAAGATTCTTTGAAACTGTAGGCTGAGGTTAGTACTGTTCAACTAAGAAAGACAGAGAGGGGAATATATCATACAGTGTAAAAAATCATGATCCATATGGGCAAAATATTACAAAACCTGAAATATTAGGAGGAAGTTATCCTTTGAAAAGTATATGAAGTATATTAAGGGAGGCAAGTACAGTATAGTTTTCTGAACACAGAACAAGGAATTTGGAAATTTGGATTTAGTCTTATCTCTGCTGGTTTCATTTTGAAAGTCAACCCTAAGTTCATAGAAATGAATCAGACTTCATGTTTTTAAGTCCATGGTTCTATTTTACTTTAGCCAATGTTGTTCCATCTGTCACAGCTGATAGCCAACGGGAAAGAATAGCTAGAAAATGTATTGTGTCAAGTTTTTCACCATGAGTAGGTTAAGTTGATCTCTCATAGGCTTAATTTTCTCATCTGTAAAAGGAGAGGGCTAAATTAGGAGTATTTAAAGTAGATCCTGATGCATCAAACCCAATTTTTTTCTGTACTATTTTAAACAGCTTTATTGAGATATTATTTGTATGCCATAAAATACCCACTTGAAGTGTACAATTCAATGAGGATATATTTACAAAGAGTATATATTTATAGAGCCTCAAACACAATTTTTATTGATGTGTATTTTTCTAGGCAAAGGGTCCATATATTCCATTGGATAAACAGACCCCAAATGATGAAGAACACTAATACCTTCCAACTGAGTTATCTTAGTAAAAAGATATTCTTTCACAAATTTTTAAAATTGAAGTGTAGTTGACTTAGTGTTAATTTCATGTGTATAGCAAAGTGATTCAGTTATACATATACATACATATATATATATTTTTAGATTCTTTTCCATTGTAGGTTATTACAAGAAATTGAATATAGTTCTCTGTGCTACACAGTAGGTCCTTATTGTTTAAGATATATTTTTAAATTAGTGGCTATGTTAAACATTTTAAAGATTATTTACTTCACAAGGTGTTGCAGACAGGAAATAAAGGAATTAAAAGGATCAGGGCATATATATGAATAATGGGGTAAACAGAGCTACCAAGAGAGGCCAGGGAATACTAACCATTGTCAAGGCCAGTCACCTATGCTTTTTTGTGTAGGTCACATCTGATATCTGGGAACAGAATTTTAGGTCGATAGACTGTAAGGTCTGACTCAGGATGGCTGCTCATGTTGAAAGCCGTTTGGTTAGAAAGGTAGGAAACATATAAGGTGTGATACAGGAGGCTAATTTCATCATATATGAAAATCAAACAATGCTTTATAGTCACACACCTCATATTCTCAGACTTGGATAGAGTAAAAAAGCCAAGAAAATAACTTTCTAGAGCTGTATTTATTCTATGCAGCCCATAGTAATCGCTTATGTATGCATGCAATAAAACTTTTATCTCATCATTGTAAAGCTCATTTATTTGGGCCCCCTGAGAACAAGGACTGTGTGAAAATTCATCTTTTTTCACAATGAGGCAATCTGCTCAAGGTCATAGATGTGAGTTAGGCCTAATTGTTTTCTAGGTCTACAGTCTTGGGTTTTCTTTCAGGTACTGCCCCCTGTTCATTTCCCTGGTGCTTACCATAGCTGATCATTTCTTTTTCCTTAAAACACCTGCTTCATTTGGTTTTGGGTTACCACACTTTCCTGGTTTTCTCCTCTCTCACTAGTTGCTTATCAGTCTTCTCATTTCTCCAACCTCTTGATGTTGGAGGGCCCCAGGACTCTGTCTTTAAGCTTTTCCTCTGTTTATACTCACACCTTGGTGATCTTATCCTGTCTTATGGCATCAGATACCATAATGACCCTTAGATCTCTAGACTTGTAAATCTAGCTGTCCAGTTGGATGTCTAACAGGGATTTCAAATTTAACATGTCCCAGTACGAATTTCTTTTTTAAAAAATTCTCTTTAAAAATTAAGAAAAATTTGGGGGGGATAATTAGGTTTTTTATTTATTTACTTTTAATGGAGGTACTGGGGATTGAACCCAGGACCTTGTGCATGCTCAGCAGACACTCTGTCACTGAGCTGTATACCTCACCCCCCCCCCCAAATGAACTTGTAAACTTCCTGCCAAACCTGCTTTTCCTATTGTCTTCTCCATCTCAGTAAATGGCAACTACATCCTTCTGGTTGCCCAGGCCCTCAAACCACGGCATCACTCTTGATTCCTCTTTGTCATTCTTCACTCATACCCTATAACTAGTCCAGCCCTTTGGCAGATCATGTGGCTCTATTTTTAAAATATATTCAGAATCTACCACTTCTCATCTCCACCACTATCACCTGGTCCAAGACATCACTGTATCTCACCTGGATTATTACAAAAACCTAGCTGATCTCCTTGCTGCCACCCACATCTTCTAGCAATCTGTTCTCAATACAGCAGTCAGAGCATTCCTTTTAAATTTCAGCTCGTGTCAATCCTCTGCTCAGAATCTTCCAGTGACTTCCCATCTCGGGGAGTAAAAGCCAAAGTTCTGAAAATAGCCTGTAAAGGCCTTATACAACCCAGTGGTTTAAAGTAGGGCTTCTGCCTTCATTAGTGATCTTAACACAATTTTTGCTGCATAATCTCTCTCTTATGAAATGCAGGTCTTTCCTGTACTGGGTTCAGGACCCATACTTACACAGTAAACATTGATATGTATTATAATGTGGTAATTTAATTTTTCTCTTTAATATGTTTTGATCTGTAGCCTTAACAATGATTAGTTCTCTAATTCACAGTTGTTTTAAAATGTATTTTGGCTTTAAATGGAATGCATCGTATCCTAAAAAAACTTATGATAAGGGCATATTATGTACCAGACAGTAGGGTTACAGGAATGAATCAAAGAAGTGCTCATCAATGACCGTTGCAATTGTGAGCATGTGGTTTTATTGTGCATATACGTGTAGAGACAACAATCCCATAAGAACTGTGTATTATTCTTTAGATGGAAGCCAAGGGATATACTGTATGTTGAGTAAATAATTCAAAAGGGAGTCATCACAATTTCTCCTTCTGATTTTCCTATCTCCCCTTTATTCTTCTTTTACTTTACTTTTTTTTTTTGCAGGGGGTAGGTAATTAGGCTTTATTGTTTATTTTTAGAGGAGGTACTGAGGACTGAACCCAGGACCTCGTGCGTGCTAAGCATGCGCTCTGCCACTTGAGCTATACCCTCCCCCATCTCCTTTTACTTTTCAAGTGATATGAGTCTCATTTCTTTTTTTTTTTTCCTGGGATAATTGGTTCTTTAGCAGGAGGGGAGTATTGGGGAATATGTTCAGGGTGGCTGAGCTTCAACACACAATTTCCCACTAAACAATTTGCCTCCCTTTATCCCTACCTGCCCCACCCCCAAGCCCAGTCTTCAGGAACTGTCACGAGGCCCATATATCTGTAGAGTTGAGTTCTGTGAGGTAGAGCATTCCTTTCAACAGAATCTAGAACTCCTGGGGTTGCAGAATTTTACTGACTTACACCCTGAAGGTCCCAAGGAGCCAGAGTTGCTTGGAACTTGGCTCAAAATTCCAAGGGAGTGCAGAACTCTATGAGGCCCAGAGTTCCAATTTCACAAGCACATGGAGGCCTGGGAGACTGTGGCTACGCCCAAGGTGGAACGATGAACACAATTCTGTCTTTATGGCTTGAAGGTCTATGCAATAGTGTCACCACAGCGAAGCAGTGCCTCAGCCTGCACGCCTATCAGAGTCTGCAGCTGAGACACGTAGAAGTTGGCCACGTCCAGGTCGGTGGCTCCGACGTGGGCGGTCAGGTGCACACCTTTGTGCAACTTGAAGCTCACCTGGCGACCCACCATGGCCAGCAGGCTTCCGAGGTAGCGCTCCCGAAGGGCAGTCTGGGCCCACTGTTCCTGGGATTCCCGAGATTCTTGAGCTACAGGAGACTCCGGGATTCCAGGAACCTCTGGTTTCAGGAGGGCTCTGCATCCATCGGGGGCAAAGCGTCGGCTCAAGCTGTCAGAGCCCCGGGGGAGCCAGAGCACAGGCACAGGAATGGCCAGTGGAGTCTGCATTATCCTGGGGGACGGAGGTGATTGGGATTGTCCCTTTTCTTGTGAGGCGCCTCCTGTCTCTGCAGCTCAACTGGCGACTTCCTGCAAGAAAGGATCCTACAGAGAAATGGGCCCAGGCTGTAGACCAGGGTTTCTCAACTTCGGCACTATTGACGTTTGGGGCTGGATCATTCTCTGTCGCGTTGTGGGAGGCTGTCCACAAGGCACAGAGGATGGGGGCGTGGACTAGGGGACACCAGGTGGGTCCTAGCCTTCCAGGACTCACCACCAGGGATCTGGGCAGATGACTGCATTTCTCCGAGCCGCCTCCCTGCTCCGGTTCCTCATCTCCTGGCTCAGATCAGGCGAGCGATTCCGCTCCAGGAAAGGTGGGAGTCTGGTGGCTGCAGCCGTTGTTACTGTTAGTATAGTCATCGTCGTTATTATTTTCCCGAGGGAGCCCATTCCTCCCGACCCTCCCCCGACCCCCATCCCCCGGTGATCGCGGGAAGGTCTCCGCTGTTGCATTCGTTCGGGGACCCGAACGTCCCAGCAGCCGGCTTTGCAAGCGCGGACCTGCCTCTTCCGGCCCCTCCCGGCCTTGCGCGCGGGTGGGCGTCCGGGGCCAGGGCCCGGGAGCAGGAATGAGCTCACGACCCACCCGCAACACGCCCGCACTCGAGTCTCCTTATTTCTGACCAGGCATTTGCTAGTGTCACCAGTCCTGTCTAGTTCCAAACTGCTCTAGTTTTTGTTTTTGATCTTCTGTTTTTCATAAGCATTCTCTTTTTCAAATACAAAATGTTCACATGGATTATGTCCAGTACCTTTCGTGGCTAACCATAACATTTTACACAGTAGACCCTCAAATCTCTGGGTGCTTATAAATATGATTTCTGCATCATCTGTTTGATTTTCTAACTCTACAGCTAAGGTTACAGGATAGATTTTTTAGCATATAGAAGAAGGATGGGCTAAAAGATGAAAAATAAAGCCATTTGCTTTAAAAAAAATTTATCCACAGGCAAAGAGAACGTTCTTAAGTATTGTGTTTTGGGTAGTATGTTGAGTCTTATTTGAATGTTACAGACATTTGGAAACAAAAATACTTTGAATTGTAAAGAGTTTTAGATGCAGAATATAATGAAAGGCCTGTTTTTTCCAGCCTGCTATCATTCCATGACTGAAGAGCCATAAATCAGAAATTTACAATGTCAGTTTGTATAAAAATTCCCTTCCCTTCCTTGTGTTCCTCTCCCTTTTTAGCTATAAACATTCAGATGAAAACCACCTCACTTGTCATGGACCGCCTATGGAAATTCCTGGAGAATATACAGATAAGTTGAATGTAACCTACACTTACTCTGTGAAATTTGAGGTAAATATTCCATGCTACTATCTTACTTTTTTTTTTGAATCAAATACGTAAATATCAAATACTTCATTAAGATTAAAGCCTTAATTTTCATCAATTTAAAGTTGTATAACACAGCTAGGAGCCCAAGAAAGTAGGTAAGTTGTTTATGTTAAAACCATTCAAAGGACAATCATGGCAGGAATTGCTATATTCCATCTACTACATGTCAGGTCCTGTTTCAGGTACTTTAATGTCTCTTACTTCATACTGAGGTTTGAATGAGGTATAAGAGAAACCAGAGGGGTGTCACTTAGGGTTGGCAGGCTGGCTGACTGCTCCAGTGAGACCTTAAAGGTAGAATAGCCTGTGGAAGAGAGTCTAGTGTAGTGAAAAGAGCAGACATGTTGGACTCAGACTAACCTGAAATTCAAATTAGGCCTTGGCCACTTACTGGCTGCAAGAGCATAGGCAAGTCACATGATCTCTAAGGCTTGATTTCTTCTCATGTCTTTTCATCCTCATTTTCAGAATATTTAAAGCCCTCAGCACGATACACAGTAGGTCCTCAACATATGATGTTCATTATTATTATTATTTTTTTTTACTGATGTCTAGTTGATTTACAATATTGTGTTAGTTTCAGGTGTATAAGAAAGTGATTCAGCTATATATATATTTATATTCTTTTTCATATTCTTTTCCATTATAGGTTATTATAAGATATTGAATATAGTTCCCTGTGCTATGTAGTAGGACCTTGTTGTTTATTACAGGCTGTAATTGTGTCATATTGATAAAAACAACCCAAACATCTAATGTTTAATTATTATAAACAATGCTTCATTGAGCTTCCTTAGTGTTTTACTTGTGTGATTATCTCCTAGAGATAAATTCCTAAAAGTAGAATATTTGGGTAACAGGTAAAGCAGGATATTTAGGTATGCATTTTCATAACACATTACCAGATTCTTTTGCAGAAAAGTTACTAGGCCTGAAAATCTGCTGTTTCCTCGCACACTCAGCAATACTAGATTTTTGTCAGTCTTTTAAAATCTTGCTTCAGAATTTTAATTCTGCGAGTATAACAAAGAGGTAGATTCATACTAGGTAAACTCCTAAGCGTCCAAATTATAAACTGGAACACCAATTTCTTAATTTATCCTAGAGAAATAGAAATGCCTAGTGGACCATACCATTCATGTTAGCTGGTTAGCTCATCTGCTTACAATAAAGATATATGAGAAAGCAAATATAAATAAAATAGAATAAATAGAAAGTTTCTTGTGAGCATAGGACCCCAGAGGAAAAGGAAGAGATGTATTAAAAGATGATATTCATGGCACACTAGTGCTGTGCTTGCCCATGGACCAGATGTTCATAACCTTGGACAGTATTAGAGGTGCTTCTCTAAAAGATTAACTTGGGGGCTTTCCTTTTATAAGGAAAACTTTTTATGCCCATGTAGATATATGTATTTCTCTCTTTAGTTTTTTAAGACTATGCATCATATTTTTTATTCAACTTTAATTATACTTGATTTTGTGTAAGGCTTATTATAGCTTTAGATGTGCTTTCCTGAGACAAAACCCTAATCACCTTATTTGGGATTAGGTCTCAAACTCCTTCAAACACTTACAAATTTTGCTTGGTTTGTGCCATTTCCATAGACGGCCTGATAGCCATTATAACACGATTCTTCCTAATCTCATTCTGAAAGCAGTTCCAGTTTGGGAATGCCTTACTTTTGTCCCTATCTATCACCAATAGTTGTTATCTCCATTTTATAAATGAGGATACGGAAGCCCAGCAAGCTGAAGTAATTTTCTCAGGATCATAGCTAGCAAGAGGTGGAAATGATATTCAAACTCAGGTCTGTTTGGCCCCAAACTCATAGTTTTTCCACTATTCCATTCTGGCTTTTTATATTAAAGGTCTGTTATATTTTCTGCCTACAGACTTACTATAAAGAAAATGAGAAACGTTTATGTTAGAGATGTGTGTGTGTGCTGTGAATCATCCAGCTAGAGGTCAGGATTACTTGATCCTACATCCTGCAGTTTACCCAAAGTACAATTGGTGAAAACAGGCAATTTACTAGTCCAATAAGTATAGTCTAGTCTTCTAACCTCTAGATGAAATACCGAAGTGTAATCTGGGAAAAGGAATGAAATATACCCTGAAGAAATTAAAACAACCTTTCCCTAGCGATTGAGAATACTATTCAAAGTCTACACTACTGTCAGAAATTGACTCAAGAGCTGAAACCCTTATACATTTTTATCTTTTATCAATTGGCTATTAAAACTTTAAGTGTACAAAGATAACTAGACTTATCTTGGTGATCATTTTGAAATGTATAGAAATATTGAATCCCTATGTTGTGTACCAATAACTAACATAATGTAAGTCAATTATACTTCAAAAACAAGCATACAAACAAACTCTTAGAAAAAGAGATCAGATTTGTGGTTACCAGAGACAGGGGGTTGGGGGGAGGGGTATCAGATGAAGGTAGTCAAAGGGACACACTTCCATTTATAGATAAATAAGTACAAGGGATATAATATGCATTATGATAAATATAATGAACACTGGTGTACGTTATATATGAAAGTTGTTGGGAGTAAATTCTTTGAGTTCTTAGCATCAGGAAAACATATTTTTTTCTATTTCTTTAATGTTGTATCTGTATGAGATGATGGATGTTCACTAAACTTACTGTGGTCATCACTTCATGATGTTTGTAAGTCAAATCATTATGCTGTCTACCCTAAATTTATACAGTGCTGTATGTCAATTATATCTCAATTAAACTGGAAGAAAAAATAATAATAAAATAAAATTTTAAGTGTAGGAATGCTTATGTTTACAGTAAAAGCCAAGGGAAAGCACAACTGAGTCGAAGTTTAGATTCATGTCAGAAGCCTGCATGGTGTGGCGTGAGTGGTCTGACTGTTAGGAAGCAACTGTGGCTGTCAAAAGAGCTGAAGTGCAAGTTCAGATGCAGCTATCCCAAATGGGGAAATATGGGGAATTGTCTTATTTGGAGTTAAGTCTCAAAACCTTTTTCTTTAACCTTCCTTAGTCCTGGGAGCTATTCCAGAAGAGGCATTTTCCTTTCCCATTGAAACTCATTTAGGATGCTTAGAAGGCCTGTGGCTTCCAGACATGGTACAATGGAAAGAACCAGATACACCTGAGATTTGAATCCTGGCTTTGACATTTCCTAGCTGTGCGAACTTGGGCAGGTTACATTGAGCCTTTATTTCCTGATCTGTAAAATGGGGATAAAACAGTCACCTCATGTGATTGCTATCAGAGTTAAGTGACCTAACTTATAAAACACTTAGAACAGTGCCTAGCCCATAGTAGACACACAATGTTTCCTAGTCCTTCTCTTGGATACAGGAGCATGTGATTTACAGATGTCTTATACAAGAGTAGCTTATATCTGAGAAGGGCTTAATTTCCGGAATATACAAACAGCTCATACAACTTAATAAAAAAAACCCAATCCAAAAATGGGCAGAAGACCTAAACAAGAATTTCTCCAGTGAAGACATACAAATGGCCAATGGGCATATGAAAAACACTCAATATTGCTAATTACCAGGGAAATGCAAATCAAAACGACAATGAGGTATCACTTCACACCAGTCAGAATGACCATCATTCAAAAGCCCACAAAGGATAAATGCTGGAGAGGGTGTGGAGAAAAGGGAACCCTCCTACAGTGTTGGTGGGAATGTAGATTGGTGCAGCTGTTAATGGAAAACAGCATGGAGATTCCTTAAAAAACTGAAAATAGATATAATATGGTCCAGGAATCCCACTCCTGGGCATATATCCAAAAAAGATAAAAACTCTAATTTGAACAGATATCTGTACCCCAATGTTCATAGACGTTTGAGATTAGCGGATACAAACTACTATATATATATAAAAGAGATAAACAACAAGTTTCTACTGTATAGCACAGGGAACTATATTCAATATCTTGTAGTAACCTCTAATGAAAAAGAGTGTGAAAAGGAATATATATGTGTGTATATGTATGACTGAAACATTATGCTTGTACACCAGAAATTGGCACAATATTGTAAACTGACTATACAATAAAAACAAATGAAAAAAGAGTAGCTCCTGTATGCAGAGTGGGTGCTTATACAGTGAGATCACACCAAGCCACAATATTCTTTACCTGAAAACTGGAAAGTTGCTGCTCTAGTTGTGCGGAGGGTGCCAGGAGGAGTGGTGGTATGTGTCTCTGATGGTGCTGTTTCCTTATTTTCTGTTTTGTGTTGAAAATGGTTTTTTAACCCAATGATAATGGCACACATCGACATTTCCCAAAGTGCATTCCCTAGAATATTAGTCAAAGAAGTTTGGAAAAATGCTACTTACTACTGCCTCTTAGTTTCACAAAGCACATTAGTAAAATACTTTAAAAAGTCTCCTAATAAAGAAACCTTTGACCAAGTCTAACTCGGCATTTTACAGTCGTACTTGACCTTGGAGTACTATTCTGGAGTGGTATTTATACCCCGCTGCATATTCCATTTTGGGTATCCTACATATCCATGGTGGTTGTGTCTTAGAGTAGTTTACGAGATCCTGTTGAACCCAGAACACAGGTCGAACTTTCAGTGGACAAATGAGAAACAAAGTTTTTCAATGTGTGTTCATGTGCATGTGTTGGTAACTGTAACTATAAAATAACTTAAACTACATGGTGGCTTATTTTTGTCAACTAATTGGGTACCTAATCATCATTTATTGAATTGCTTCAGCAGGAATGATGGACTTTGAAAATAACTCTCTTTTCATCCTCCAATTAAATAATTGATTCAGGTCATTATCATAAAGGATGTTCAAATTGTAAGTGACTGAGTGTTGGGGAAACTGGTTATTCTCACAGTGGCAAAGTAGCACCCCACAGACTCCTTGCTAAATGCAAAATGGGAAAATATAAAAATAAGTAAGTGGATAAGTAAATAAATAAACATGATTTCAAACTGATC